TTCCACAGAGACCCAAGACTTGGTGTTAGTATACATGTATGACAGGCCTATTGCTGATTTTAGGCCTATGGCTGACTTTAGGCCTTCAGTGTACAAGCAGGGCTGCCCCTGACATCTCCTCCCTTCTCTAAGTATAGAAGGGCTGTGGCGATTCTAATCTTTCGAAGGCAGGGATAGAGGCCTGACCTCCAGTAATTGAAGGGGACCTTGTAATGGCTCCAGTCCCCCTATCGTTGTCCAGTGAGGTATGAGAGCCATACCCATCTCGATGTCTTTTTCCTGGAGAGGGGATACTTTTGACATCAACCCCTATGCAGTCAGGCTTGTCCCTAAGGGAACCCAGAGAGATATTTTTAACTTTTATTTATATTCCCTTGCAGTGCTTAGCCTTGCAGCCTAAGCAAGAATTCAGATCGCCTGTCAGAGGTGGTTCTCGGTGGCCCCTCTCTGCTTGGTCTAGGGGCAGAAGTCCCCTCTTTTAGGTTGGGTGGAGATGGGTTTTGGGAACACCCTGGATAGAGTAGCAACCTCATCTTGAGTCTCGTGGTCCTCCATAGCTAACTTATAATAATGTATCTGAATAGGTTTTGCTACCAAATTATCTGTTGTTTCACAAAGTTAGTCAGCCTATTTAAGGCCCAGGGACCAAAAAAGCAAGCAAAAATAACCTAATTAATGGTCCCAAGATGGGAGGAAGTAGGGTTGACAACTATGGAGAGGTTGAAAACCAATTCTTGTATCAGCTCTCATCTTTCTCTTTCTCTCTCTGTCTTTTCTCAGGGCCTTCTCTGACCTTTTTCATCCTCTCTTTAACCATCCCTGTCTTGTCTATGTAAAGGCAACATTCTTCTTTAAGGGCTGTACACAGTCAAGAGCTGTACACAGTCTTTTCTGTTGTAAAAAAGTAAATCAAGACCAATAAAGTCCTTTGCGATTTTTAGAGGTCTCTTCAGACAGCGAAACGAGGGATTTCTTCAGATTGGTGATGTCAGTCTCTAGCTGTTTGATATTCTTGTCAACAGCCCGTCGAAGGTCTGAGTAGTGTAAGTTTGGAGGCCAGCATCTGGATTAGAACTTGTAACAGCAGACATCACGGGTGATTCATTTTTACCTGGAAAGGAAAAAGAAGGATATTCTCAGGGAGATTTCTCTTCCCTGGATGTCAATTGTCATTCATCTTATTTATGGTTGGGCCTGGCTTTGTGGGGTTATCTACTTATTTCATTAATCTTTTTGGCAGCCATTTAGCTGTGCCTTCTGTGGTATCAAACAGCCCTGCACTCTATTTTTAATAGGATTTTGTTTTGTTTTGTTTTGTTTTGTTTGAGACAGGGTTTCTCTGTGTAGCCCTGGCTGTCCTGAAACTCACTCTATAGACCAGGCTGGCCTTGAACTCAGAAATCTGCCTGCCTCTGCCTCCCAAGTTCTGGGATTAAAGGCATGCGTCACCACTGCCAGGCAAATCCTTCCTATATTTTGGATATTAGTTCTCTATGAGATGTTGGTAAGAATATTTTTCCATCCTATAGGCTGCCACTTTGTCTGACTATGTCCTTTACCTTATAGAAGCTTTTTGGTTTCATGTGGTCCCATTTTTAAATTGTTGATCTTAGCGCCTGAGCTGTTGGTGTTCTGTTCAGGAGGTTGTCTTCTCTCCCAACATGTTTAAGGCTATTTCTCACTTTCTCTTCTATTTGGTTCAGTGTATCTGGTTTTGATTCACTGGACATGAGTTTTGTTCAGGGTGATAGATATGATGTATTTGCAAAATTCTATATGCAGACATTCAGTTTGGCCAGCACCATTTGTTGAAAACGCTGTCTTTTTTTCCCACTGTGTATTTCAGGGTTCTTCATAAAAAATCAGATGTCCATAGGTGTGCATGTCTTCAATTTAATTCAATTGAACAACAGGTCCAATTTTATGCCAATACCATGCAGGTTTTTATTACTATAGTCTGTAGTACAGTTTGAAATCAGGGACGATGATACCTCCAGCAGTTTTTATTGTACAGGATTGTTTTAACCATTCTGGTTAGTTTTTTTATATACAAAGTTAAGAATTGTCCTTTCAAGGTCTGTAAAGAATTGTGTTACAATTTTGATGGGGATTGTGTTGAAAATTGCTTTTGGTAGGATGACCAGAAAACAGGTTATTTTATATGTGACAAAATTTGGATTATATTTGCCATGTTACTTTAAAGAAATTTTACTATGAAATTGTGGTAACATAATGTGACATAATTTATTTCAATTTGACTTTGAACAGTAGAATAATACTAAAGATCTTTGGGGTAAACTCTACATAAAAACCAAAGGGTTTAATTGGAGTTCCCCTACACAGAGGGATACTGCCTCTACCAGATACCACAGGTTTTCAAACAAAAGCCCAGTGCTGGTGGGAGTTACCTTCCCTCAAGCAGTCGGTCAAGGGGACTGTTATAGACCCTCACAATGCAGGCTACCCAGCAGAACTTGATGGAAAGATATTAAAAACACTGCATACTTGAGTCACTTCACAGGAAGAGATAAAGCTCAGGCTTGCCTTGAACTCACAGCAGTCCTAGTACCTCTGTCTCCTGAATGCTAGGATTATAGGTGTGAGCTACCCAGACCAGACCAGCTTAAGTCTAGATTTTAAGTATACATCTGTGACATGTCTGAGTTTGTACTGGATATCAGTATAGCACTCTCTCTCTCTCTCTCTCTCTCTCTCTCTCTCTCTCTCTCTCTCTCTCTCTCTCTCTCTGCATTTCCTGTGTGAAGAGACTCAAAGGGGAACAGATTGAATGAATTAGGATTTCCCCTCCAAATTCGCAGCACAGGTGCCAGCTATAGCTTCCTCCAGTTGTTCTTTCTGGTTGTGAGCTGTAGACAGCGGACAATTTAGGAAAGGAGAACTGTTCTGCCGCCATGTTGATGGTCCTCTTTGTCCCTTCTGCAGATCATCTTACCTTGGTTAATTCTGTCAGACAAAGTGCACCAGCAGTTTCGAGCCTTGGCCACTATTTCCCGATTGCTGAGGTTTATTTGTAATTTCTCTGAACTGTCAGTGAGTATTTGCAGATTGGCGCAAGGCTGACCCAGCATGCCTTGCTTCTCTGGACAGAGGCACTGGTTGAGCCAGGGTTCTGCAGGGGCAGCTGGAGGGCATGTAGTGAGAGTACATGACACTTTTCTGCATCAGGGTTTATTTTTGTCCCCGGCAACCAAGAGGCTTGATTTGCTCTTGGGTTTGTCCTGAGCCTAATAAGCTTTGATGAGCCTACTTGGTGTCTTTGGCCTATACAGCTAGATAGAGACCCAGTGACCTCAGAGTAACATGTTTCAGGGCTCTGGCTGTCCCTTTCCTTGCATGTTGGTTAGGGAAGCTTTTCTTAGCCAGGACAGTGTGGGGTAGAAGGGATGGGATACATAAAGACAGTGGTGGGAGGAAGAAGTTTGGGTTGGGGGACCTTAGCAGGGAAAGGCTCCCTCAGGATGCGGACAGGCAGCCATTTCTGCTTCTTGTCAGCACATGGCATCGTTCTCCATAACTGGGAAGCTGATTGGCACCTTCAGCATCTTCTGCCTGAATCGCAGCCAAGACATCTGCACTGGCGCATTAGAGGCCCTGCACTATCTGTTCATCATCCTCGTGCTGCAGAGAAGTAAGTGAACTTCACTCAGGTGGCCACTGGGAGAGGATCCATGGGATCAGTGGACGCAGGCATTGTTTCAGACATACCCCAAAAGGTTGCTCCCTCTAGCGTCTGAGAGATGACATGATACGGCATGATGCAGAGAGACCAGGAGATCAATGGATGAAACCACCAACCTTTTCTTGGATAAACGCCAGTCCAAGTCTGATCCTGTGTCCTTCTGAATGATGTTGTTGGGAGGGGCAGCTAAGTTTGCAGTCACTTATGGGATCCACTTGGATTCTCAATATTTCCCATCCCATCCCAACCATATGCATAGCACCAAGGAAGTAAGCATCTTTTCTTGCAGGACAAATGTGGGGGCTTTTTTTTTTTTTCCAAACTAGCACTTCTCTTTCAAATAGTCATGATCACAGAGGTACCAGGGAATTTGAAAACTCCTCAAAAAGCAATTTCAGAGATCCTGGTTTCTTATGATTCAGTGGGGGTACAGTGGAGGTACACTCTGCTAAGAACACAGGAATGACTCAGTCCACATTTGGCCATGGTACAGGAACAGGGGCCAGCTTGACTCCCAACCCACATCCTCTCTTCACCTCCCTAGAGTGCTGGGGAAGTCCCTCTGTTCTTTGGGGCCAATGCTCTGTCATCCATTTGTCTCTATGGCCCTCAGAAGCTTGGAGGAGAAGTGGGAGAGTGGGTTCATTTTGCACTTCTGAGGCCCAGCCCTTTACTTGCTGTTTTTGGATTGGAGGTATCAGACCGAAGAGAGAGGCCATCCTGAAGGACTTACAGAAACGCTTCCGTGGAAACTGGCTGTCCAACATGCAGAGTCTCACACTGGTAACCCAGATACCCACATGCATGGGATGTTCAGAGGGGGAGAATTAGTGGGGGAGAAATAAGGCTGGGTAGTAGATTACAGAAGCAGTGATCCCCACAAATAGGAGCACTTTCAAAGTCCAAGTTCTCAAAGACAGGCAGCTAAAAGTGAGAGGCACATTCTCTCCTAGTGACACTTGAGTCATGTGAACTTTGAGGTCACCAAGAGGGTTTTAGAAAGAAGTGCTGTTGTACCCAAGCTCAGTCAACCTCAGCCAGATACATAGAAACATCCTCTGCTCCTTCCTCTTTTCCTCTCCACATCCAACTCCACCCCACACCTGTCTGCCTCTGCCTCCTGTTTGGCTCTTCACTCTGCTCACCACGCTGCAGCCCTGCATCAGTTATTGAAACTGGGTCCTCCATCACCTCTTGCCATCAACAGCAATCTCTTACTAAAAGCCCTATTTCCAGCCATCTCTCTGTCATCTGGGAAAATGTTTCTAAAATACAAACCTCTTAATGTTCCCTTCAGACTGAGTACAAACACTGTTTTCCTTACTCTGAAGGCTGAACCTCCTCAGTGGGTCCAGAGAGGCCATTGTGGTCTGGTTCCCACCTTACCTGTCCTGCCTTGTCCTTCCTCAGTCTCCTCTTCCTGCTGGCCCCAGTCTTCCTCGCAGGACACTCTAGTCACACTGAGGTCCAGTGCACCCTCGCCTTCACATATTCTACCTCACTGCTGCCATTTGCTCGCCAGTCTCCTCAGGACTGAACTCCAGGAAGCCTTTTTCAGTCTTTCCAGCTAGTTTCAGTGCTCTGCCACCTCCATTATTAGCTTTTCCCTCCACACTGTTCTTGATGATGACGAGTACCCAGAGGGCAAAGCCATCAAGCATCTTGTTCACATTCCTTTGTAGATCCCAACGATGAAGCCACATACAGTGTTGGTACCAATATTGACTGGTTGGCATGAGCTTCACATGTGCAGATTTTTGTGTCAGGCATGTCTGCCTTTCCACTTGCTTTGGAATACTGTAGAGTCACTAGGCATAGAGCATGTTTCCAATGGACTCACCTAACTGCATTTCAAGTTTAGAAAAGAAAGGCTTCCGGCATCCTCCTCTGTGTCACTGTCTGGACTATTGCTTTCTCATGAGGACCTCAGTGTTGGTGGCACTCTGGAGATGACCTCACACCACAGATGCTTCCCTGGCTGTCTCCTAACTGAGCCCTGCCTGATGGGTCTCTGCAGACAGATGCCAGATGCTTTGGGGCAGTCTTCAAGTGGGATGCTGGATTGGAGAACTCCACTCTTCTCTCAGTTCTTCAGGAAATACCTGACCCCTGGAGAGAGAGCCGATGTGATTTTGGTGGCCATGGAGTCCATGATCAATGGCAGCACGAATGATGTCTTTGCAGCCTCCAAGATGCTAAAGATGATCCTGAGGTACTCTGTTACAGAAGTTGCCAAGGTAGGCTTTTAGGGGACTCCCTGCTTCAATGTTTTGCTGTTCTGTTTTCGGCGATCTGGTTTGATTTCCTATCAACTTGAGCTTGAGGAAACCCAGATCTCTTAACCCCGAAGAGAAAAGCCTACTTGGTGAGTTGTTTCCCAAGTGGTGCAAATGCTCTTTTTGTGGAGAAGAATGAAGTGGTGATGACCAGGCTTCATCTCCACTAGGATGGAGAGGATCCTAGCAAGAATCAGGTCCAAGATAGTGTGGAGGACTATGTTCTCACAGGTCCAGGGGAGACCTTGGCCATTCCTCCCTCTTCCACACACTATGTATGTGTTACGTGTGTAGCTGCTCCTTCATATAGGTGGGGGAATGCCTGCTCAAGGATGAAGGTAGGTGTTCATGACCAACCAAATGCCTGGCAGATACAATTTTAAGAAGAAAGGGAGCCAGCTGGATGGTATATGCCTTGGGCTTAAGTGCTGGGATAAAGGCAGGCAGATCTCTGTGAGTTTGAGGTCAGTCTGGTCTACAGAGCAAGTTCCAGGACAGCCAGAACTACACAGAGAAGGCCTGTCTCAAAACAAACAAAACAAAGCATCAGGGAAGATTTGTTTTGGTTCCCAGTTTCAGAGGGTTTCAGTTTACCCTGATACGGTATACATGGCAGAGAAGAATCTCAGTACATGGCAGTAGGGGCATATGGAGAAGGAGACTGGTCCCATGACAGTAGATCAGGAATTAGCACAGGGTACAGGAACCAGGGCCCAGGCTGTCACCTTCAGAAGCCTCCCCCTGGAGACTTATCTTTACTAGCTAGGTCTCCCTGAGGGTTCCACAGCCTCCCAAAATAATGCTATCAGCTGAGGAACAGTTGTAGAAGGCATGAACCCATGGGGACACGTCTGACTCAAACCTTAACAACATAGAAACATGCAGGTACATCTTGAGATCATAATGATGAGGTATACTAATAAACTCATTGAAAATATTGGAAGCTGAGAACACTCCTAGCCCACCAGACAGGCTGACTTAGCAGCACACAGTTATGTCAGCCGACTCCTCTTGTCATCTGAGGGCTAACAAAACTGCAGCTTTCTGCCACCACCCAGCACTGAGAGAATGTTGCCCCACATATCCTTTCCCGGAGAAGATGGAAGTTATTTCAAAGCATTGCTTGAAGTAATGTGTATTGCTTTCACACCATCACGAAGCTGGAGAATCACAAGGCAGAAGTTGACTATGTGGTCAGTGGGGATAAGCACTCAGGGCATGTAGCCATGAATAGACTTGGAAGGCAGAGCCTCCTGTGTCTCCATAAACTTAAGACAGCACAGTTTCACTTCAGCTGTTCTGGTTATTCAATCACCTGAAATTCCAGCACCAAGAGATCCTTTGCTTTTAGCCTCCACGGTCACTACACACACACGCACACACACACACACACACACACACACACACACACACACACACACACAATTAATGTTAAGTGATGAAGAAAGGCCCAAAGAGGCCATAAGCCTTGGAGGTCAAAGTTTCTGGACTTCTTGCATGATGAGTAATGTTCTAGCTCAGTGGTTCTCAACCTTCCTAATGCTGTGGACCTTTAATACAGTTTCTCATGTTTTGGTGACCCCCAACCATAACATTATTTATGTTGCTACTTCATAACTGTAATTTTGTTACTATTACAAATTGTAATGTAAATATCCAATATGCAGAAGATCTGATATGTGACCCCAGTGGAACGGCTGTTCAATCACCAGAGGGGTCATGACCCACAGAGAGAAACTCTGCTCGAGCCACTGCAGATGTGCTAACTCAGATGCTGTCACAGATAAAATGACTTGTTTTGTTTTCTAAGTGAGGACACAAAACACAGGGAAGATGACAGTCTTCCTCCAAGTCACACAGGTAGTAAGTTTTGAAGTGACATTCAAATCCAGGTGGTATGGCTACTCCAAGTCCATGCCATTCAACAGGAAGCAGCCTCTGCTCCACAGCCAGTAAACAGAAGGACTACCCAGCCACTCCCTCTCCACCATGCTCTTCTGAGGCAATGATCATATGGCCCTGTCTTCCATTTCCCAAGTCATTCTTCCACTATTCTTCATGCCATGCTTCCCAGACATAGTATGGCCCTCCATGGATGCGTTCTGCCTGCCCCTCTGAAAGTCTGGAGGTACAGGTCCACTGGGATCAGCTGGCCAGAGCCGAGTGCTGCAGACAGAGGTGAACTTGGTCCTGACACTAGGTACTATATTGTTTGCAGCCACACACTTCAGTGACCTGTGACTCCTGCTCCGCTGGTGTTGCAGTCCAGAAAAAGCCCCCATCCCGCTTTTTCAGGTTCCAGAAATCATCAGGTTAATTTACTACCACATAGACAGAATCACCGAGAGAACTGCCCAGAATACCATAAAGAAGGTCTTCCAATTGCTGGTCCAATCCCACACAGATGAGGTTATCCTGACGCTGTTTAAAATAAAGGACCAAACACAAAGGTGAGCCAGCTACAAACTTACAAATACTAGTTGTCCTTTAAATAGCTTATTTGTGTGTGTGTGTATGTGTGTGTGTGTGAACATGTGCATGTACATGCTCAGATTTGTACACGTGTGCATGGAGGCTAGAAACAGTGATGTGAATCTCCCTTAACCACACTTCACCTTATTTTTCTGAGATACCAGTTCAGCTTGGTGAGCTTGTCCCCAGCCTCCCGGGACCTGGCTCTCTGCCTCCCCAGTCCCGGGGTTAACAGACATGTGCTGCTGTATGCAACTTTACGTGTGGGTACTGGGGTTCCAAATGCTTCTCCCCAGTACCTAGCTTAGTCTTACAGTGTATTCAAATATTGAATATTTTATTTATTCGGAGAAGAGTGATTCTAACAGCTGTCTGTTTTACCACAGAAAATCTTGGAAGCAAGCATGTAAAATTTAGAAAAAGCAAAGCAAAAAAAAAAATGTATTAAATTTCAGCCAATGGAATCTTCTGCTAACATTTGGGTATAATTTATAATTTGTTTATCTTCTGAAAACAGGTAGAAAAACTATTCATATATATGTATACTATATTATATAACACATATGTATTATATATAAAATATGTTATATACAATTATATTACATATGCATAGTTAAGCCCACATTATATCTATTTATTTGTGTATTTTTTATTTAATGCTTTATTACAGAATTTTCTAACTTAAAACTTTTTAATAGGTAAAATTTTAATGGCTTCTTGATCTTATATTGTAAGGCTATACTATATTATAATTTTAATTTTTTTAAAATAAAAAGTTAATACACATGTAGCAAGCTCACCATTTTAACATATATTTATATGAATTCTATAAATGTATAGCCACAATAATCATCACCAGTCATGATGGCAAGTCCATGACCACCCTCCCCAATTCCCTTGTGCTTCCTAGGACCAGCTCCTTTCTGGCCCCTCAGTTGCTGGCAGCCACTGGTCTGTCTTCTATCTCCATCATTCTGCCTTTTCTAGAGTGTCCTGTATCTACAACCATATAACATGTGGATGGGTTATCAGGTAGCGATACTGCTGCCAAGTCTGATGACTCAAGTTCAAACCCTGAGACCCACATGGTACAAGGAAAAACAGATTCTCACAAGTTATTTTTAATTTAATTTAATTTAATTTAATTTAATTTAATTTAATTTAATTTTGTGTGTATGGGTGTGTTTGGTCTACACGCATGACTGGGCACCATGTACATGCCTGATACTAACAAAGGCCAGAAGAATGTGTTGGATTCCCTAGAACTGGAGTTACAGATGGTTGTGAGCTGCCTTGTGAGTGCTGGGAACTGAACCCAGGCATTTTGGAAGTGTAGCCAGTGGTTTTGACTGCTAAGCTGTTTCTTCAGCAGCACAAATGTCTTTTGAACTACTCTATCTATCTATCTATCTATCTATCTATCTATCTATCCATTAATTGTAAATGGTTTTCAGATTGGATAATACATATATATATGTATATGTATATTATATGTATATTATATGTATATGCTCCTATATGTGTGTTTGTGAACACGATTACAATATTCATAGAAACCAGAGGGCATCAGATCTTCTGGAGCTGGAGTTCTAGATGGTGAAGTTGTCTGATGTGAGTGCTGGGAACCAAGTTTGGGAACTCTTTCTTCTAGAGCAGTATGTGTTTCAAACCAATGAGTCATCTCTCCAACTCCAAAAGGAGAAAAATTTAAGTATTTCAAATAGTATTAAAGAAAATTCCTTTATAGTTGTAGTTTGTTGAGAGTGTTTATCACAAATGGAAATTAAATTTAGTTAAACATTTTTATTACAGCTATTAAAATGATTGTGTGGTTTTTCTTTTCATCCTGTATTAATATGGTGAATTGTACCTTTTGGACTAGGACACTATTTTCTCTTCTAATCTTTTATGTTAACTAATATGTCAAAAATAAATTTCCTTTACATAATATACAGTTATATTTTGGGGGTGTCTGTATGTGTTCATTACTGGCTTTTTTGTGGTAGTGAGGATTGACCTTAGAGTCTCATGCATATTGGGCCAATGGTTTACCACAACACTAGATCATGTGCTTTTATCCAATCTGAAAATTCTTCCCTTTTAATTTATATATTTAAACCATTTACAATTAATGTAATTGGTGGCTTATTTGGATTTATGCACATTTTTATTATTTGTTTTCTGTCTCTCTGTTTTGTATATCTAGAGCCTGTTTTTCTGCAACTTTTTGAATTATATGAATTCTTTCATTTATTCCATTTTTCTTTGCCTGGGCACTCATTAGATCAGACTTTACTTTTAACTTATTAGGCGATTAAGAGTTTATATGGCCACACTGCAGCCTACTAATAGCTGATATCAATAACTTTAGGAAAAGGAAGATCCTGCAACTTCTTTTGTCTTCCTTGCTCTGTACAATGGCTGTCATCCATCTCACATTAACATATATTGAATAAACTGTCAAAATTATTGTTTTTCTCTTCAACAGTCATGTATATTCTTAAACTAAGAGGAGAAAATAACCCATTACAGTTTCCCAAACATTTATATTTATATTGCTTTTTATTATTGAAGTTCTTATTTAAATAAAATTTCTTTATAATAGAATTTCTCCTCAGCTAAAGACTTTTTATTAAAATTTCACTGAAAGCACGTCTTTGGGAAACAATTCCCCCCCCCTTTTTTGGTATGAAACTATTTCCTATTTTACCTTCATTTAAAAAATTATTTTCACTGAATATAGAATTCTGGACTGGTAGTTCTGTTTCTTTCCCACATAGCTAGCTTCCTTTGTCTCAGGATTATTTGAGCCCTCTTCTGTACCTGAGTCACCTGAGAGTGGGAGTTGGCTTCCACAGAGAACCAGGTTCTCATCTGTTGCCTCTGAATGATCTTTTCCCAGGTCTTCTGTCTCTCAAGCTGGGCTCATGCTGGAATTTTAGGCTCTCTTTGTTGATACATAGCACAGTTACTAGGGTGGTGAAGCGGGGTGGTGGTGGGGAAAGACTTGGAAAACAGCAAGGACCACAGCAGGGAGGTACTAGCCTGTGGTCAGGCAGTGGAGGCCTACAAGGTTTGTGCAAGATCCTGAGGATTGATCCCCAGCACCACAGACACAAGTTAGAAAAATAAAACAAACCCTCAATAACAATAGCAGAGATTTTTTTCCTCACCCTACCTACCAAGTCACTTATCTTTGTGTTGTGGCTGGCCAACTTCCACCCTGTGGCTCTGTTAGAGTCACCCAGACAGGGATTGGAAAGAGAATAGTGAACAAAGACCCACTCATGCCGCCTGACTCATAGCGCATTTCCTACTGCTCCAGGGAGACAGAATTTCACCCAGAGGTTCTGTTGCCAGTGTTTGGTGCACAGTTTTTGCTCTGGGGTCATGTGTAGGTCAAAGTTGGGAAAGAGAAAGAACAGAATCTGGGGCTTTTTACTCAATAGGTTAGTTTTCCTTATTCTGGCTTTGGTCGTCAATCTGCCTGCTTTTATTAATTTTTCAGAATTTAATCCAATTTGAGTTTTATAAATTAGATTGAGCTAGTTGATAGCATTATTTAGCTGTATTCTCACTGATTTCTGTCTGTATCTATGAACCACTGGGAAAGGGGAAGGAAAGATTTTTGTGTTTTCCATTATAATTAACAAGAAAACTGGACTACAGTGGGCTTGTTCACTCTTGGTGGACAACGGAAACTTAAATTGCTTATTATTAATTTCTAATAAATGTTCTTATCATGGGAAAGAAGCTTCTACTTTATTCTGCTAATTAAAACAAAACAAAACAAAACAAAAAACACGAATCAACTTTAAATTTCACCAAATATCAAATCTGTATAGATCTTAAACAACTTAGTCTGATTGTCTATTTTTCTTCTGGTGGAATGAGCCAATTCCAGGCTGGTAAGTTTATTGGGAAGCTGCTCTTGAGTGAGTTCACTGGCCCCAGGGATTGAGGCCAGGGAGAGGAGGAGGAAGAGGAGGGAGGAGGAGGAGGAGGAGGAGGAGGAGGAGGAG